ACATTAACCACCCACACCCTACACAAAACAATTGGAAACTACTTGTATATTATCTCATTACTGACTGCATGTGTTAGAACGCTAGGCTCTCACTCTGAAGACCCGGATTCGAATCCTTGGTAAGGCTGGGAATTTGTTTCTGTGGGGGAAAAATAAAGTCCCCACCTACACAGTCGTGGCGACAGCACTAGCCATGCGGCCGTTAATCCCCAGGCTTAAAGACACCCCCCCCCCCCCCCCCGCCTACGCCGCAAAAGTGGTATTACAAAGGCAGTAATTTGCAGTTTACTGAAAGCATATACCCTTAATAGTTTGTTAAGCATATTTTGCATTTCCCTTAAACTTGTTATAATTTGTGTTATTTCAGTTTTAAAAGGCAGGTAGCTGTACATAGGTTGTTGCGTTTTCTGGAGGCATGGCTTCTGCCCTGAGTGCCCGAGGTCCTGGGTTCAGGCCCCGGTGAAACTTGGATTCTTTTCACATGGACTTCTAGTAATTTCTGGTCTCTAGGTAGTAAGATGGGACGCCCATGTGTATTGGTTGCGCATGTTTAAAAAAAAAAAACCTTGGCAGTTGAAAATCGAAAAGAGTAAACTAACGGTGTTGCCTGCTCAAAATTTGGACTTAAAAATATACCCAAAGTATTTCAGGATCCTCACCGGTGTTAAGGAGTTCGTTCACTGCGCTGAGACTCTTCAGACTCAGGTTTGAGTCAGAAGTAGAACAGAGCACTCCTGGTTTACTACCTGTGTGCCATGATGTTGATCTGTCGACTAAACCCTAACTTAGCGCACATTCCAACCTTTGTACCTAGGACTTAGATGTTATTAATTACGTTTATTAGTATTATTACATCCTAAAATTGTGTATCAATGGAATAATGTTTGCATGGAGCGATGGCATAAGGGCAGAATGTAAGATGGGTCTGTTTGGCCAATTCTTAACTCTTTGAATACAATTTATTCGTCCGTTTTTCTCTAGTCTCTCCGCTGATTCTTGAGAGGGCGCTGTCAGGTTATTATTATTATTATTATTATTATTATTATTATTATTATTATTATTATTATTTTTTATTATTATTATTATTATTATTATTCTATCAAGGTTGCGATATTTTTGCTTTTTGACCCAACGCATCCGATTTCAACAAACCCTTAATTAATAGACTTTTACGACATGCTTGGTTTAATTAGTCTATCACCCCTCCTTCCTCCCCCCTTCCCTACCACACAAATGCGGCCGTGAATCCGACAAGTAAATTTTGCGAAAACAAAAAATATTTGATTTACGATATTCCTAATTCACAAAGCTCTATTATCTGCGACTAAATCTATGCGCATTTGCTCACAGTGTTGATGTTTGAACAACAAACGAAGGTGCTTTCCTTTTTAACCGACCACAAATGACGTCACGGGACAGTACAATATTTTAGAAGGTGGCGAGATCGGGTTTTCCGGTTGTTGTTTTTTTCTGTGCAATTTGACCACATCTCGTCAGCTTCGAGATTAGTAGGGAAATCCCCATAATGTTCCATAGTATAGGGGGGCGTTCGTGATAGCCTTAGTAGTAGTCGCTATTCATTTAACACTAGCCCTAACCCCAACACCCTAACACCCCCCCCCCCACGCCCATAATATGGTACTGTTCAGGAAATCTCCTGGGGAACCTTTATGAATTCTTTATTTTGAAGCCGACGAGATGTGGTAGTATTTAAAAAAAAAGCATCAAATTGTGAAAATATGTTGTCTTATACACGGTGAAATGCCGTATATTTATTCAAATGAGGTAGAAGGTAACAAGTAAGGTAAAGGACCCTTTTCATAGCCTTTAGGCGTATAGGGTATATAGGGCTAGATCGAATTCTTATAGAACTAAACGGCACAAGATGGGTGATGTGGTCAGCATCACGCCGGCCGTCTTTACATCCCGGGACTGCACCCGGTACCAACTCAAGGCTGGGTCCACCTGGGAGTCAAGTTAATTTTTGAAAAAAAAGTCCGGCTTCGCAAAGGGAGCGAGCCCACGACCTTCCTATTCGAACGCGACTAGCCTCTGCGCCACGGACCACTCTCTTTATTCCGATTAATAGTTCAAATATCCGATATTTTTACATTTAAAATATATACATAAATAAGAATGTCACAATACTGCCTGGATTTTTCTCAAAAATCTGCCAAGTCGGAATTGTAATGTGGAACCTGTAATTGACACGAGCCTCAGAAAACAAGTAATTACCATTTCTCGGCACCTTTCCGACTATCGAGAACAAAGTTTAATTGCCGTACATTTCCTAATAATACATAGATTTAATTACCGTACATTTCCTAATAATACATAGTTTAATTGCCGTACATTTCCTAATAATACAGGGTCTGTGTTAAACTACATCAATATGTCCAGAGTTTGTATTATCTTGGAATAAACGACAGGGCAAGGAAAATAAAAACAACCCTTGCGTATAAAGATATCCTACCGTAAATACATTACGCTAAAACTAGTCATTAAATAGTGCATAGAAATAATTATACTCTTTTGACATCGGAGTGCATCAGAAAAATGTATCATTTTTTGTGGGTGTGCATTTAAATACTACTCAGAGAGTATAATTACCGTATACTCTTTTGACGTGGGGACGCCCTGCAGGAATGTTGTATTTTGTTACACCTAATTATTATACAGAGAGGGGGCAAAAAGACCAAGTGAAAAATCTTATGTTTAAAGGAATACAAGAAAGTCTGCGCAACAAACTTATACTGGAGAGAATTTGTGAGAATAAAAAAAGGACGAGGAATTTGGACAGAAGAGCTTTAAAACTCGTTGTTGACCCGACAAACCAAAGATATTACTTCTTTCCCAAGCAGGACTACAGGTCGAGTTTCTTCATAACAGGACTACAGGTCGGGTTTCTTCATAACAGGACTACAGGTCGGGTTTTTTCATAACAGGACTCCAGGTCAGGGTTCTTCATAACAGGACTACAGGTCGGGTTTCTTCATAACAGGACTACAGGTCGGGTTTTTTCATAACAGGACTCCAGGTCAGGGTTCTTCATAACAGGACTACAGGTCAGAGAAATTCACCCAAAGAATGAATACTCTGAGATTTTTGGTGACGCAAAAAAATCAGTGGGTCAGAGTGCAATACTGCAGTTTGTGTACAACTGTAACAGTGCAACTGTTTTACAACTGTAACATAACAATTCATTTTCAATTCTAAAAGTTACAATTCGTTTTAACGATTTTACGTTATAATATACGTATAGACGTAAAATTACAAGTCATTTACAACTGTAAAATTACTATACATTTACAGCTGTAAAATTACTATACATTCACAACTGTAAAATTACTATATATTTACAACTGTAAAATTACGGGGAAAGAAAGTCACAATTATTTTACGCCACATCACAGTTAGCGCACAGCTGCCAAAAGAAGACTGCTAATCAGTCAATCACTGCCTCTCGACAGGGGGAAAAAAAGGACTTTACCTAGGATTCAAACTTAGGTCGTCTGCATGAGGTGCCAACGTTCTTAACCGTTCGACCAGCTTTTCCTCAATCCTTCTGCTAAAAGAAGACTAAAGTAAAGGAAGGTGCAAGAAAGTAATTAACTCGAAAAAAAGTAATTTAAAACAGTCTGGTCTGTTGTGATCGAAGACCCATTTCCAAGCGAGGAAATTATCTAGCGTCCCTCATGGATCTAAGAGGAGAGAATCTAGTGCAATAAACTGACTAAGTTTGAAGTTTCTTCTTCTTCTTCTTCTTTGCGTTCGGTCTCGTATGCTCAGATCAGACCATCAGATGGGTTGCCTCTATGAACTCGCATGTCAGCTGCAGGTCCTACATGGTTCCCCATAGCTTGCTCTGCACACTTTGCTCTTAGGGCCAGGTTTGAAGTTTGAACAACTGAACAGCATCATGGCACTCATGCGTACTCCATTCTTCTTCCAACTCAAGTCCGAGTCCGAAGAAGCTCAGCACAGTCCACAGGCTCTGTAGCACCGGCGAGTATTCTGAAATAATTTGAGTAGATTTTTAACTCCAAATTTTGCCCGGGCAGCGCCGTTAGGCTAGTCTTTTCGATTTCCAACTGCCAAGGGATTTTTTTTTTTTACCTTCGCAACAATCCACACGGGCGTCTAATCTCACTACTCAAAGGCCAGGGGGAATTACTAGGGGTCCAAGTCCACGTGAAAAAATTGCAACCCTTTCCAGGGTTTGAAGCTGGAACCTCTAGCACTCGAGGCATACACCATGCCTCGAGACCACGCAGCCCTCTATGTCAGCTTTACAGAACAGACGCAACAGCTAAACAAAAGTTGCGTCAACAAGCTATCATCATAAAACTCCATGCAGAGACAGGAGACAACATAAAACAGGATACTGTTCAACAAAAGTACATCAGGATTGACATCTTCAGATGATACATGTATTTATACATAGCAATAATATTTAAAACACGGAACAGTAAGAGTATTTTTGAATCAGGCATTCAAAACGGCAAACTAGATTGGATGGTCATGGTGAAATCAGACTTGGGCAAATTTATATCTACATATTCATATGTGCACAGATAGATCTGAAGATATAAACAGAATACAGCGGACAATATTTGTAAAGGAATTAAATACAAAGGCAAGCAACAGTCGACGGAAAAAAAAGTTTAAGTATTTTTGAGTTGTTAAACAGTTTAAAATCAAGAATATCGCTATATAACACCGAATTTTATCTGGTTTTCAGCAATCTCTCTCCACAAAACAGTTAACCGCTTGTTAGGATTGTCGTACAAAGCACGAACGCCGTTGTTCCGGTGACAATCTACAGTGATCTTCGTGAAAATTGAATTCGTGAAGTAAAAGACACTTAAGGGCGCTTCCGATCTACGGAGGGAGAAGTAAATAGCTAGTGAGTCTAATTAATCGTAGGGGAAGTGATTAACAGTGTAAAAAAATTACATCTAGTTTATTTTAACAAAAGAAACTGTTTAAAGAGAACAAGCATGTCTGAGCTGGAAAACGATGACGATATTTTGACTGACAGCCAAACAGAACTGGCCATGTTCATTTTAATGTTGTTTGTCACTCCCGCCATTTGTATCGTGGGAATTGTGGGAAATGTTTGCAGTATTTTGGTTCTCGCTAAACAAGGCTTGAAGAAGTGTTCCAACATTCTCCTTCTAGGGCTGGCCATCAGTGACATCACGTATTTAATTGGCTATAACAATCCGCCAAAGATTGTTTATGTTGTATTTGGAAAACAATCCTTTCTATATCCCCCTTATTCTTCAACAATTCTTTTTGTCTTATCCGAAATCTTTCTAATGATTGATTATTCATCTGGTCTTGCATCATTAACACTACCTATGTTGATAACAATAGAACGCTTAGTTACCGTATTTTTCCCGCTAAAGGTGTCAAGAATTATAACACCACAAAGAACAGTTGCAGCCGTATCATGTGTGTTTATCTTTTGGTACAGTAATTTCATCTACCCATTATTCTGGTTTGAGTTAAGTAATGAATACAATGCTTCACAAAACAAAACCGTTTACGTCATTGTCCGTTCCGCTCTATTTCAAAAAGACAAACATGCCATACGACCATTCGAGGAAGCTTGGGCGTATTTCAGCGTCAAAATTCCAGCGACCTTCACCTTCATCGGCTGCGTGATTATCGGTATCAAAGTCAAGATGGTAGGAATGAAGAGAAAACTGATGACAGGGAAGGAGATTAAAGGGTCTATGAATCGCACAACAAAAACACTACTTGCTGTCTGTGGAGTCTACACCGTCACTTGTGCTGTCACATCTCTAACTGTCTTCATTCCAGAATATGTTTCATTCTCCATCAGCGAGGACAGGACCACAAACTTGCGCCTGGTCACATATCAACTGATGAGCACTTTGGTCTGTGTCAACAGTTCCTGTAATTTCGTCATCTACATCGTCTGCAACAAGAACTTTAGAGACGCATACAAAGCCTTGTTTATCAAGACAATCAGGATTGATCTGCCTATGAAGAAACGTTAGTTATGTCTGTAATCAAAACAATAAATAAATTGCTGTTGCACAATTAAAGCGGCCTATAAGAAATCTATTTTCATCTCTAGTCCAACATTGTCCTTCGGCGTTAGGTTTTGAAGAGGCAACGAATGAGAGTCTTGGTATGTGCTACGAGATGCGGGTACTTCCGACCTCAGATATTGCATCTATCCATCACTTGCGTGGTCGATCTCTAACTCTGCTTACATTATGTCTAATTGATGGGGATCTCTGTGATGCACTATCTAAGCGGTTTTCAACCTGTGGGTAGCGACCCTTTTGTGGGTCGAACGACTCTTTCACAGGGGTCGCCAAAGACCATTTCGGGTATGATGTAGCAAAGAAAAAAACAAAAACTGCATGGCTGCATACATAAGGAAGTGAATTACAGGGTCGCCACAATATGAGGAACTGTATTAAAGGGTCGCCATAACATGAAGAACTGTATTAAATGGTCGCCAAAACACGAGGAACTGTGTTAAAGGGTCGCCACAACATAAGAAACTGTATTAAAGAGTCGCCACAACATGAGGAATTGTATTAAAGGATCGCCACAGCATGAGGAACTGTATTAAAGAGTCGCCATAACATGAGGAACTGTATTAAAGGGTCGCCATAATATAAGGAACTGTATTAAAGGGTCGCCACAACACGAGGAACTGTATTAAAGGGTCGCCGTATTACTGAACTATTTGTAGATAATGAATCAATAAATTGCTTTTTTTATCGTCCTGATTGTATACGGTGTTGAGATAGATTCGTGGGAAGAAAATGCCATGGGTCGTGTTGCGTGAAGGGATAATCATGGAGAGAATGGAAATGGAAATGGCGATGGGGTGGGAAGGAAGTGTTCTGGAAAGATTGAGAACTGAACGTCCGAGAAGACGTACACTAAAATACACTTGATGGAAACAGATGGTGCTGAAATTCCCTGCTCTAATTGTGGAAGATTTCCTAACGCAGGTGGTCTTGCTAATCACACTCGCCATCGCCATGGACTGTAATTCATTCCCATGGGCCGTGCCCCATTCGTCGAGAGCACAATATAGCACAATCGTCTGGAATGAAGTGAAGGTGCTAGCGACAGTTACCCAGTCTCTTATATTGTTCGTCCAACTCTCGACGTTTTTCTCCCATTGATATGTACCAGAACATGGAAGCACCCCCCCCCCCCTCCCCCATCCATCCTCCCTCTAACTAACAATTATCAAGATGCTAAGGCCTCTCACTCCCCCCCCCCCCACACCTTCTAACTATAACAATTATCAAGATGCTAAGGCCTCTCACCCCCACCCCCTAACAATTATCAAGATGTTAAGGCATCTCAACTCCCGCCCCCCACACCCTTTAACTATAACAATTATCAAGATGCTAAGGCCTCTTAACCGCCTCCCCCCCCCCCCCCACCCTCTAACTATAACAATAATCAAGATGCTAAGGCCTCTTAACCGCCTCCTGCCCCCCCCCCCCCACCCTCTAACTATAACAATTATCAAGATGCTAAGGCATCTTAACCGCCCTCCCCCACCAAGTGATTATTTCCACGTTGTGATACCTGCCCGACGGTTCGTCAGTGTCGAAACTGAAAAGTTTATTTGTATTTCTACGTTTCTTGCCAGTGTCTTCTTCTTCGGGAAAGGGGGGGGGGGGGGGGGGCACTTTCAAAGAAGGTAGAAATACAAAACAGCTCAGTTTCGATACAACGAACCGTCGCGCCAGCGGCTCTTTCCCTTGAAGTACTTCTTATTTGTACACAAGTGCTTGCGGCGCCTCAAAGAGACTCACGACAACACAACCTTCAACAAATATTATATACGGCAAACGAAGCCATCTCATAGAACACCAATAACATAGCACAGGCCGGGCGACCGTTGCGGCATGAATAGTAGGGGACATAACTGTCGCCGTGCGGGCATCATTGTGATAAGTTCCAGTTTTTTTTTTTTTTTTAAAGGATCGCAATCTGAAGGATTTATACATGAACGACAAAATGAGAACCGGCACAAATCCTGGAAACCTTGTTTAACGGGGTAGATCTTCTAGCCTCCGAGCAGCAGCAGATATCGCACTAGGTGAATTTTGTATTTTTGTGACATCTAGTTTAACAAAATTACTGCTAACTACACCCTCCTCCCCCCCCCTTTTTTTCCCGGCTTATTGTTGAATCGGTCGTCCCCATGTGGTTATTATACTATATATCGAGTTTCGTCCTTTTTAGGACGAAATTTTTTGTAATTTGAAGCCCTACTCTGGCTTTTGCCAGGGGACGCAATATAGGCAGGCCATACATATGGCCAGATGTCTGAACGCGGTTTCTGGGACCTCTCCACGGCGATCCTCATCCGCATGGTGGCACTTTGTGTCATAGGGTGTTTATCGCTTGTGTGATGTCCTGGTGGGGTAGAAAGTCAGTCAGCCCCATGTGGTATGCATTTTTTTTTTTGGAAGCCCCACCCTGGCTTTTGCCAGCGCCCTGAATATATACGGGCCATAACAGCTGAAAGAGGTTTCTGGAACCTCTCCACGGGTGATCCTCATCCGCATGGTGGCACTTTGTGCCTCCTGGTGTTTATCGCTTGCGTGACCCCACCTATGGGTTGAACGGAGTTTCTGGGACCTGTCCCCGGGTCATCCTCATCCGAATGGTGGCACTTTGTATCACCGGATGTTTATCGCTTAGCGTGATGTCCTGAACCTCAGTCAGTCAATGACTGGTTAGCTGTTTAATGGGCCGTAAAATAATTATTACTCTTTTGGTGGGCCGCGGGTGTCAACAGGTTGAGAAACACTGCTGTACAGGACGCTGACGAACCAACCCTTGCATTTTTTTTGTTTTCTGTTACCTGTTGTGGTTTTTCTAGGCAAAATTTAAGTTCAGTAGTTTGCCTTTGTCTACAAAACAATCGGTTGTCAATACCAACTGTCGAAACTAACCCAATGCGGTTTGCTGCCAAATCGGATAACATACCCCTCCCCCACCCCCACCCCCTTTCCCAGCAAAAAAAAAAAAAACTTATAGCTACTGAAACTAACATAAATTTGCCATAAATTTAAGATTTGAAATCTGTGTAATTAAACGAGTGAAGCTGCTTAAATGGCAAACAAGAATACCTTATGATTAAACTAATCAATTCTCAGTTCTTTTGCATCTGGGTCATCATTACTTTATAGGGCTTTCCCTTCAATTAATAAACACACTGTCGGATCTATGAGGTATTTTTTAAACATTATTTTTTCTTTCTTTGCTTTCCGTCAGTGTGTTAAGTAGCTGATTGTTAGATCACGTAGTGACTCATCGATACACCAGGGCATTTTTTTTTTAAATGGCGGTGTATTGTATATTATTGTATATGGCGATATATTGTTTTCAGCATTACTGTAATAGACAGTTTTTGGTGAGTACCGGCAATTTTGTGTGTGGGCACATTGGGTTAAGTAGAGAGACCTTTTGGATTTTGAATAAAAAAGCCCTGTGTTTGTATGTTTGTGTGCGTGTCTGTGTGTGTGTGTGTGTGTGTGTCTGTTTGTGTATGTGTGTGTGTGTGTCTGTGTGTGTGTCTGTGTGTGTGTGTGTATGTGTGTATGTGTATATGTCTGCGTGTGTGTGTTTGTGTGTTCAAGAACATCCGATGGACAAGGCAACAATGGAGCCCAGTCCTCTTCACTGATGAATCTCGCTCGACCATGCCAGTCAAGGTTGGCAGGATTGGAGTCTGGAGCTGAAGACCAGGAGAGCGATCTACTTACTGATGACATAATCCGAGAGGTGAGTCGTTAATGTAGAGGTTCGGTCATGGTCTGGGGTTGCTTCTAAAGATACGCCCGGACTCGTCTCTACATCATTCTAAGGAGTAAATGTGAATGAAAGAGCTGACCAGCTGGCAAGTAATGCAGCCATGCCAATGGGAACAAGCATGGACAGAGCTGATTCTATCAACGCTGTACGGACTACGTTGGAGGATAATGGCGAACCTCTGGCGCTAACACGACTGCGTGACCGCGGAGCTGAGCTTGATGAAGCACGACTACGCCGTCTTCGAGGTAAAGACTGGGAATATTAAAACCAACTTCTCATGGGAACAATTTGTAGAGCTTCCTTGGAGTGGATGCTGCATCGGAGGACTGAGCACGCATGGGGATGCCCAATGTGCAAAGACGTCGATTGTGATGACATAACATGACATAGCATTCAAGGCAACTTGACCGATCCAAGATGCCAGAACAAAATATTGAGACCTAGCCGGCTCTGGAGGCCACAAGTTGCAATGCCATCCTCCAAGGTAAGGATAACTCTCGCACTCACCGAGCTCGTGTGGTGAACCACTTTGTTCAACCACGTGAGATCATCAGGAAGGCGTGGCCAGCTCATTCGTCTGACCTTTCTCCGACTGGGCACCATTGGGATGTCCTTGGTCGGAGAGTTTCACAAAACCAGCCATTGCCAGTGCAACAAACTATTGTTAGAAGCACAAACGTAGCACGACTGAAAAAAAAAAAGTGACACTGACTATCCACCATATTGACCGAAGGCCTCTCAATTTAGCTAGTTTGTACCTAATTCAAATGTTGTTCCACAGACTTTTGCTCCCTCAAGAAGCGTAACGACAAAAGTGGTAGTTCAAAAATGACCTTGGCTCCATGGTCGATCCAGCCTTATATGGGTACCAGGTAAAGTCATGGGAAACAAAGTCGGCCGGCTTGTTATTGACCACATCACCTACCTAGAGCAGATTGATCTATAAAGTATGGTCTAGCCCTATATGCCCAATACCCCTGAAGGCGTGGGAGAGGTCCTTTACTTTACATCCAGATTCATAACTTCGTGTTGGCCGGCTGTAAACTTCTGCCAAAAGTTTATGTTGTTCTTTAGTCTTCTTCTTCGAGGACTTGAGTTTTGCGAGTACATCCGTTTTACAAATCTGACATTTTTGTGTGCAGGTTGTTAGTTCTTCGCCGCAAAGTTGCATGGACTCCAAAGAAAAACATAG